AGGTGTGAGGAACTGTAGGGGGAAAACAATGTAGACAATGCTCTACAATACAATCGCATTTGCTCCAACCCCTCCGACAGAGACAAACACCTACAAGATTTCTATCAAGCGTTCTTAAAACTACAATACCCACCTGCTGAAGTGAAGAAACAAATTGACAGAGCAGGAAGAATACCCAGAAGTCACCTACTACAGGACAGGCCCAACAAAGAAAGTAACAGAACGCCACTAGCCGTCACCTTCAGCCCCCAACTAAAACCTCTCCAGCGCATCATCAAGGATCTACAACCAATCCAGAAGGACGATCCCTCACTCTCACGGATCTTGGGAGACAGGCCAGTCCTCGCTTACAGACAGCCCCGCAATCTGAAGCAAATACTCACCAGCAACCATACACCACACAACAAAAACACTAACCCAGGAACCTATCCTTGCAACAAAGCCCATTGCCAACTCTGTCCACATATCTATTCAAGGGACACCATCATAGGACCTAATCACATCAGCCACACCATCAGGGACTCATTCACCTGCACATCTACGAATGTAATATATGCCATCATGTGCCAGCAATGCCCCTCTGTCATGTACATTGGCCAAACTGGATAGTCTCTACGTAAAACAATAAATGGACACAAATCAGACGTCAAGAATTATAACATTCAAAAACCAGTCAGAGCACACTTCAACCTCCCTGAACACTCAATTACAGACCTAAAAGTCTCAATTTTTCAACAAAAAAACTTCAGAAACAGACTCCAACGAGAAACTGAAGAACTGGAATTAATTTGCAAACTGGACACCATTAAATTAGGCTTGAATAAAGACTGGGAGTGGATGGGTCATTACACAAACTAAAAACTATTTTCCCATGCTAATTTTCCCCCTTCTGTTACTCACACCTTCTTTTCAACGGTTTCAAATAGGTCATCCTGATTATCACTACAAAAGTTTTTTTCCTCCTGCTGCTGATTAATCAATTAAGGTGGGCTGTCTCGTTATAGCTGGTATGGCAACCCCCATTTTTTCATGTTTTCTCTCTCTCTCTCTATATATATCTTCCTACTGTATTTTCCACTGCATGCATCTGACGAAGTGGGTTTTAGCCCACAAAAGCTTATGCCCAAATCAATTTGTTAGTCTCCAAGGTGCCACAAGTACTCCTTGTTCTTTCTTTTTTTTTTTTAAAAAAATGTATAAACTGTAGTCCTTCCAGATCAGGGTTGAGGCATATTGGCAAGATGGCATGGGGAATCCTATACTGCGGCTCCCAACATTCTACTCATTCAGATAATAAAAGAAGGGCTTCAATCTGCATGGCAATCAATCCATTACTTTTAATCAGCTACATTTCCTTAACGGAAGGACAGGTCTATGTATAAATTAATTTATCAAGTGTCTAGGTAAACTGATCTGGCAGATTGGAATGACATTCCACTATGAATGTCAAATTCCACTTCATCATACTCTAGAAACAGTAATAAAGCAGCAAGTTTAAATCTGAATAGAATAATTTTAACATATCGCTTATATTTTTCCCCAATGATTATAGGCAGAACTGATAGCACCACCCTTTGTTAATGTTGCCCCAAAACGTTCCCATTATTAGGGTGACCATATATCCCATTTTGGCTGGGACAGTCCCCTTTTTATGCCCTATCTAGGATGTCCTGACATTTTTGGCAAAAGTGTGCATTTGTCACAAAAGCAAATGGGACAAATGCAGTTTTGCCAAAGCGGAGGAAAAGATTTTGGGGGGTGGGCAGAGGGAGTGACGACATCAGATGTCAGACCTTGGGCTGTCAGCCCCAGCCCTGGGTGGTAGGGCTAGGGTTGTCAGACCTGTGCTGGGGGGAGGGGGAAAAGGCTGGGGTGAGCCCCACATGGGGGGCAGGGTGGGGAGAGTTGTGTGGAGTGGTGGTGGAAGGCTCGCTATGTCAAACCTGGGCAGTGGGGCTCAGGCTTCAGCCCCAGCCCTGGGTGTCGGAGCTAGGTCTGTCAGCCCTACCCTGGGAGGGAAAGGCTAGGGCAAGCCCCACATGGGATAGGGAGAGAGACGCTCCGGCTGTCAACCCTGGGCAGCGGGGCTCAGGCAAGCCCCATGTGGTATCATGTTTTCCCTTTGGGAAATATGGTCACCCTATCCATTATAAGATCTTGTTTTTAGTTGCCTATAAAACTTAGCCAAATGTTAAGCATTCAGGCTGAAATGTTCTATGCTGGGTGTCCACTTCAGGCTGAATTTTTTGTAAAATTTTAGCAAAAATGGTTGAGCCACATCTGAGAATAAAGATAAGGGTAAACTATGTTGTTTTGCCAGTGTTAAAAAAAATATCTTATAACTATGAAAACTCCATGCTTTGAAGCAGGGATGTGAAATTTGGCTGGGGTATCACCCTGGTTTCAAGGATGCAGCTTCTGCTGTTCCCATGAAAAAAAACCCTACATTTGACCAATTTATCCAAAAATGCGTATGTGATTATGTAATTAAGCAGGGCTGCCAGAGATGGGAGGAGGGGGAAGGGGAAGGGGCAGTTTGCCCCAGGGCCCCTGTTTGAGAGGGCCCACAAAATGACAAAGGGACGGCCAAGCCAAATTTGAGTGAAGAGGTGTTGCAACATGGTGAACGGGATTGCAATGCCACTCAGGTTTGATGCCTGCCATCAATAATGCAGGGAGCGAATTGCCCATCTCAGCCAGGCCCAGAACCCACAGTCACCGTTGTTGGCATCATGATGCCAGGCTTGAGGCGCCCTACCATGCTGAGAGACCAGAGGAAGGAGTAAGGTCACGGAATACCACTCCCGCTAGTGGCAGGGCTAGAGTTCAGAGAGAGGCAAGACTGGCTACATGCAGAGAAGAGCATACCTTCCTGTGGGGAAGGCAGCAACCACACAGGCCTGGGGCCTCACTGACCCCTCTTCTCCATCCTCTCCCCTCCTCTTAAACTCTTTCATTTCCATGGTAATTTTTTTTATTTGGATGGGGACATCAGTTTCAGATTTTGAACCTGACCCCCAAAACACTCTCTGCAGCCTTGAAGACTGTAAAATAAGGCATGCACACAATGGGACAGAATTACCTTGCAAAGGCAACCTTAATTCCGGGATCTTCTAACTCTTAAGTTTGGACATATTTGACTTGTGATATTTTGGATGAATAAAGTATTTGTTTTCACTACATTCTCTGACCAAGACTGATCAGTAAACACTTCTGGTATTAATTACTGTTAAGTGGAAAGTGCACTGAGTTACTTCTCCAGAAGTCTCCGATGACTCAATTAAAATCAGTGTCTGAAAGCACTATTTCAAATAGCATCATAGAAAACATTACAAAAGTAAAATGTATCTTTTTCAGCCATCCTGAGCTCTACTCTTCTCTTTAATTGCAAATTACACATGCACATGACAGAAGAGAACGTTCATTTGTTAAATTTATTTTTACCTTCCAAGCTTTTGTCCTTCTCCACTGAAAGCTTTGAATTTCAGTCTAGGCTTTTCATATTCCTGTTCTTGGTGGTCTTCCATATCCAAGTTAACTTGGCCACCATGCACCAACCGTTGAAGTTCCAAAGGAATCTCTCTTAAATGCAAAAAAATAAACCATTTTAGCTGTCTCCTAAAAGTACGCAGTAGAAATTCCCAATTACAGTACAGTAAAACATTTCAGTATGGATCCTACAAGAGCCTAAACAATATTTTAATAAAGAATGGAAACTAGTGCCCTATCTGTATCAAAATGCAGAGGAATCCAATTGCGCCTACTTCTTCTAGAAGCTAGACTAGACTAAAGACTAATGGATGTATAAATGTAGTTCATTATTAAGTCACAAGTTGAAATCTAGGGTGCACGGATACAATGAATGAGTGTACAATCTTAATAGTCACATTTTGCAAATGATGTTCAAACAGATGAAGTTACTGGGGAGTTCTGTGTTAAAAAAAAGTGAGATGGAATATTGCCCATACTTAGATATTTTTAATATTTTGGTTGAGAATTTAAAAAATAATCAAAAGGAAAAGAATTTAGAAATAATGTCTAAAAACAGTTGCTAGAATGATAATATTATATTATAATTTTTCACTTATCAAACATTTTTAAAGTTTTCTCAAGTAATCTCTAATGCAGGGGCGGGGAACCTTTTTTCTATCAGGGGCCACTGACCCACAGAAAAAAAAATCAGTCACAGACCACACACAGCCCCACCGGCGGGGAGGGAAGCGTAAGGGGGCGTGGAGGCTTGGGGCTTCCCCTACTCTCTGGGGTGGGGCCAGAAATGAGGGGTTCAGGGTGCAGCAGTGGGCTCTGGGCTGGGACAGGGGGTTGGGGTGCAGGAGGGGGTGAGGGTTCTGGCTGGGGATGCAGGCTCTGGGGTGGGGCTGGGGATGAGGAGTTTGGGGTGTAGGAGGGGGCTCAGGGCAGGGGAAGGGGGTTGGGGGATGCACGTGGTGTCTAAGAGGGAGTTAGGGTGCAGGAAGGGGGGTTTTGAACTGGGGCCGGGGTGCGGGTAGGGATGCAGGCTCTGCGAGAGAGTTTGGGTGCGGGAGGGAGCTGAGACCTCGGGGTTGGGGTGCGGGGTCTGGGAGGGAGTTAAGGTGTGTCAGGGGGCTTGGGGTGCAGGCTCTGACCGGGTGGCACTTACCTGAGGCGGCTCCTGGTTGGCTGTGCAGTGGGGCTAAGGCAGGCTTCCTGCAGGCCCTGGCCCCACGCTGCTCCCGGAAGCGGCCGGCATGTGTGGCCCCGAGGTGGAAGGGCGGTCGGGGCCTCTGCACAGAGCATGCTGCCCATGCCCGCAGGAGCCGCGCTCACAGCTCCCATTGGATACAGTTCCCAGCCAATGGGAGTTGTGGAGCTGGTGCTGGGGGCAGCATGTGGAACTTCCCTGATCGCCCCTCCACCCGGGAGCTGTGAGGGTGGGTGGGAGGGGAGGGCGCCGAGGTTCAGGGTTTCTGGCCCACGGCATGGAGACTTGCTGCGGGCTGGATTAAATTAAGTAACGGGCTGAATCTGGCTTGTGGGCCGGAGGTTCCCCATCCCTGCTCTAATGCAATACATTTTTTTTGCCTATCAATCACAGTCCTTAACAGGGATCATAATCCAATTCAGGTGAGGAAAAACGCCTTGAGAAATAATCAACTGATTTGATTATTATATTGCAGTAGTACCCAGGGCCCTCAATTAGTAACATCACCCCACTGTGCTAGGTGCTGTACAAATACATACAAAGACACAACCTCTACCCTGAAGATCTTACAATCTTTGGCCTGGTCCACACTAAGCCCCCAGTTCGAACTAAGATACGCAACTTCAGCTACATGAATAACTTAGCTGAAGTCGAAGTATCTTAGTTCGAACTTAAAGGTACTTACCGCAGGTCCACACACGGCAGGCAGGCTCCCCCGTCGACTCCGCCTACTCCTCTCGCAGAGCAGGATTACCGGCGTCGACGGCGAGCACTTCCGGGATCGATTTATCGCGTCTAGACAAGACGTGATAAATCGATCCCAGGAGATCGATTGCTGGCCGCCGAACCAGCGGGTAAGTATAGACGTACCCTCAGACAACAATCAATATGTAAAAGGTGGAGGAAAGAGGGATGCAATCTAATATATACATATATTCATATACAATAAGAGATATAAAAACTACTTTGGATTGTTATTGAGCAGAACCCGTCATCAGCATGGACACATGTCCCCTGCAATGGTGGTTGAAGCATGAAGGGACATATGAATCTTTAGCGCATCTGGCACGTAAATATCTTGCAATGCTACCTACAAAAGTGCCATGCAAATGCCTGTTCTCACTTTCTGGTGACATTGTAAATAAGAAGAGGGCAGTGTTATCTTCTGTAAATGTAAATGAACGTGTTTGTCTTAGCAATTGGCTGAACAAGAAGTAGGACTGAGAGGACTTGTAGGCTTTAAAATTTTACATTGTTTTATTTTTGAATGCAGTTTTTTGTACATAATTCTACATTTGTAAGTTCAACTTTTATGATAAAGAGATTGCACTACAGTACTTGTATTAGGTTAATTGAAAAATACTATTTCTTTTGATTTTTTACAGTGCAAATACTTGTAATCTAAAATAAATATAAAGTGAGCTGTGTACTCTTTATATTCTGTGTTGTAATTGAATATATTTGAAATGTAGAAAACATCTAAAATATTTAAATAAATGGTATTCTATTATTGTTTAACAATGCGATTAAATCGCGTGATTAAAAACAATTAATTGCTTGGCGGCCCTAATTAAAACATTATTTATGTTAAGGAATAAACACACCTGTTTTGCTCAGCCCAGCATAATATGAATATTCAAAAAGAAGGAGGCTTATGTTGCAGTGAATAAGCCGTGAATTATTTTGAATTCACAGCTGGCACTTCTGAGCCTAGTGCTGGAGGTGGCCATCATATTGAAGTATTATGTTATTTGTGGCACAGGCCAGGTGGAGACCCAATCTTAGCATTTGACTACACATCACAGGTTGTGTGATTTGTAAAGTGCTCTAACATGCTGCACTCTAACTCCTCTACGCCAGCAGAGTCTACATGGTCTAAAAGGAAATTAGTTCACATTAACATAGTCCGATGAGAATTAGGCACCTTTTAGAGTGAATCAGCAGGTCTCCAAGGAGTAGTTAGAGCATTTTATAAATCCCACCCTCTGGCACATTTTGCCAGTGCTATGTACATAGGCCCTAAGCGACTGAACTAATGTACAATTTGCTTTAATAGTGTTTAACCGTCATAAAAATATGGTAAACATAATATTTTAATAATAAAACTTCAGATATTTTCTTCTGACTGTAAAAAGCATAGATGTGCACCTGTATTTTGATCCATTGCAAAGAGGTCCCTATGACAGTAACTTCTCACTTAAAGTCGTCCCGGTTAATGTTGTTTTATTGCTGATTAATTAGAGAACATGCTCGTTTAAAGTTGCGCAATGCTCCCTTATAACGTTGTTTGGCAGCTGCTTTATCCACTGCTTGCAGAAAGAGCAGCCCGTTGGAGCGAGCTGGTGAGGGCTTGGAACCAGGGTGGACCGGCAGCTCCCCATCAGCTCCCCGCTCCCCTAAGTTTCCTGTGCGGCAGCCACCCAGCAGGATATCAATTGCTGGGCAGTTCAGCTGTCCCTCCCTCCACTGCCATGTGCTACTCCTGCCCTATGCTTTGGAGCTGCTCCCGGGAACCTCCTGCTTGCTGTGCAGAGGGGCGTGGGGGAAGAGGGGTGCTAATGTCAGGGTGTCCCCCACTTCCCGCGCTCCTGTACCTTATCTCCAGAGCAGGGGGGGTGGGACACCAGGACAGAGGGAGCTTGCTAGCAGCAGCTGCTGTCTCAACTTGCTGATCTAATTAAAAAGGCAATGTACTTAACGTGGGGTCAGAGTACTTAAAGGGGAAATGTGCGTCTCTCTCTCTCACACACACTGTATGTCTCTGTCTCTCTCTGCCATGCTGTCTCCCCTCCCTCCATTCGTGCTGCCTTGGAGAGTGTGAGGCTACATTAACAACAATGTGTTAACCCTTGAGGGCTCAACTGAGTGCTAGTTCATCATTTAGCAGTAAGGCATTCCCTGGGAAATATCCCACCCTCTGATTTCACCACCCCAACCATCATTGCTGTGTACAGTATTAAATTGTTTAAAACTTATACTGTGTGTGTGTGTGTGTGTGTGTGTGTATATACACACACAAAGTATAAGTTTTTTAAATATATATATACACACACACACACACACACACACACACACACACACACACACAC